ATATGAAAATTTTAATTTAAACAAAAGATCTGGTATATTAATACAAACAACGGAATACCAGCACGCATATACAAAATACAGGCTTATAGCAATGATGATTTGAATAAAGCAGCTAATATATTAGCACAAACTCATTAAACTTTACTACTTCTTGAATTCAAATACACTAACTTATATAATTCTAACTTTTAGATTATATTAGAAAACTTTAATATTAAACAATCTACATGTAAACTTATCAAAATAGTATACAATACTCATATTATAGCAATATAGTTATTACAAAATCACAATCAAATATAGACTTATTTATATAACCAAATTAACTAGAGTTCAACATAGTTATATCTTAATAATAACAACAAATACTTATACAAATTTACTAACTTCAAACTTAGTAAACTCAAAACTTTTCATATTAAACTCCTATATAATGAACTACCTATACTATCACATCTACAAAAATATTATCTAAATACTATACTAAATAACAAATACTTTAAATGCAACTAAATTATTTCAGAACTCCACTGGATTATAAATCATAATAATAATATTCTACAAGAAATTATTTTACAATCAGTAAATGTAATTCTTCATATCACAAACTTAGAAATTACTCAACCTCAACTTAATATATTATGAAACTCAATTACTCACTACCTTTCACTCCAATTATTCTCAAATAACTTTAATACTATTAGTCTAAATACTTTACTCAAAGGACTTTTACTATATATACTAATTCAATTAATCCAACTACATACTAACTCACCTTATACTGCTTCATAATTAATTATTAAGCTATTTTTTAAAATTAACTTAAAAATTTATGAACAATTGTGGCTACTATATTGTTCTAAATATACAAACTAGAAGCAACATATAATATTAATATACTACATTCAAACTCTTAATTAAATTGAAGAAACTATTAACAAATCTCATATACTTCTCAAGAGCTATATAACTTATATAGCTCTCCTCCTCAATATAACTATATTTTATCAACTAAGCTTGCTATACAAAAACTCTCAGCTTGGCTATTATATTGAACCAAATATAGCTTTTCTACAAACTCTATTCTTTCTAATCAAATTTAGGTAAGTTTTGACTATTCTAGTAAGTTTAGGTTGCAGATAATTCTAACTAATCTTAGCTTTATATTTACTTTAATTAAGTAGTTTATTATCATCTAAACTTCAATTCTTGTATGTAATTTATTATCAAGTAGTTTTATGTAAACTCTTAACTATATTTTACTCAAATAAAGATAGAGACAAAACCTTACTTCAACTTGCAAAGATTGAAATTAAAAAAAAAATTAATTAATATTTATTTTACTAAACTTAGCTTTTATATATAACTAATTATAGTTTTTTTAATAAAAATATAACTGAATTTATAAAAATTAAATATATTATAGCTAACATGTATTAAATTTATTAAAATCTTTTATATGTTTTTTAAATCTAGTATTACTTTTTTTTTATACTTAGATAATCTTGTTCCTTATTTATTAAGAGAAAATATAAAAAATTTTATAGCAAAAATATAAACTAAACTAATTTAGCTATATAACTACTCTTTTAACTTAAATTTAAACTCATTCAGTGCTTAAAGTATCAAAGTACAATCTGCTGTAATAACAAATTTTCTTCTCAAAGGAGTTGAATATCTAAACAGAGTTATATTCTAAAGATCTATAGAAGGCTACTATGCACCTATATTAAAATTGCTTAATTATTTTTAAAACTTAATCAACTATTTTTTATTCCTTCTACAATCTATTTTTTAACTTTACTTTCTGCTTCTTTTTGAATTCTTAATTCTTTATCTTGTTCTGACTCTGTAATCTTCTTTTCTGCTAAAGCTTAGTTTTCTTTATATTCTTACTTCTTTTTCACTTTAGTTTTAGATTTGTGTTTAGACTTTTTCTTCTTCTTTTTGCTATTAATATCATTCTTTTTCTTCTATTCTGATATTATTTTACAACAGAATTTTTAAAGCTTTTTAAAAAAGTTTGACTAGAAGATTTCAGTAAACCAACAAATAGCTTTATTTGCTTTAGAAGTTGAATTTAAAAGATCCTTAGTTTTTGCTACTAAACTTGTATTTATTAGCTCATATATGTAAAGTTTTCTTTTTTGAAGTCTAGTTTCTACATTTGAATCTAAAAATATCTTATTAAGTATTTAGCTTCTTACTGTAATTTCTTATTAAGAACTAAGCAAATACTCTAGCTCCTCTATAATAATTACTTCTATTTTCTTCCAAATCCTTTAATAAATCTAGCATTCTGCTAAATGTTCTAGTTACTCTTTTTTTGCATAGTATATGATGCAAGTTTTGCTTTTATAAAGTACTGAGTTTTTTTGATAATATATATTTTTTGTTGGTAATAGTTTGTTAAGACATTTTATCTAAATATTAGTATATTATTCTTTTTAATGCTTATATTTCTTTTACTCTACTAGCTCTTCAGTACACTCTATATATTTTTTAATTCAAATTAAAACTGCTTTAGTTTATTGTTCTCTGATTAAGAATTAGTTTGATACTATTTAAGTTTGCTCATATACTTTTATTTACTATTACTATAGTTAAATTAACAAAGAATCTTAATGCAGTATCTATTATTTTCCTTTTCCAAACTAGAAATATTCTTTTTTTACTCATTGTTACTTCTTAAGCCTCAAGTATAAGGTTAGATATAAGATCTTCTTTCATTAGATGATTTGTTTTGTTGTTCTATATATTTAAGCTATGCCTTTTGACTTTAATTAGCTCTAGTTTAATATCTTTTATTTTGTAACTATCTAAGATTAAGTTGATTAAATTATAATTTTTAACTTTAAAATTGCTTTTTATATTTGTTAAACTCTAAAAATTTTGAATTCCTTCAATTGTTATCTTACTATCTAAAAAGATCTAAATATTTGCTCTATATAATACTACTAGCAATACTACTCAGGTTATATCTAAAACTAATACTATAATCACTACTATTATTAGCTACTATGATCTATCTTATACCTATCTTTGTTCTCTAATGACTCTAAAACTAGCGATCTGTTTGTATAAATATAAATAGGAAAAACAATGAAAATCGAATAAAACGGAAAAATCGTAGAAATCGTAAAAATCGGAAGCGGTACCACATTTGGCTGCGGTAGCTCCGGGGGCAGATTTGCCGTTTACAACGGTTAAGTTTAAATCTATCGTATTGTATTAGTATCTTTAATAAGGAAATTAGACTAAAAAGGTTAAAATTTATTATATTTATTGCTTTACGGTTAAGATCATACTGATTATCAATTTGTACGAACATATGTACTGTACATATCATAATTTTAATCATATCGTACGATACTAAATTAACAATCGTACAGTACTTAATCTATATATACTCATTCCGAAACTATAGTATAAAAAAATCCTAATATACTACTATACGTACTGTACGTACTGTATGTACTGTACGTACTGTACGCTAAAAAAATCCGAGTATCATATAAATGACACATCACTAGTTGTGACCTATTGCTAAATTTTATATTTAAAAAAAAATCAAAAGTGTTGCGAATTATAAAAATTTCATAATGTCACAAAGTCACAATAAAATATAATATCGTAATGTTGTAATGTAATATTATAATATACTATATTTTATACTATAGTTAAATTTAAACTATACGTACAATCTACATTACATATATGACATTAATTTTGCTATATATTCATTTTATTAATAACGAGACTTCAACTCTGCAATCTTAGTTTGCGTTTTTTTTTGGGTGTCGCAAAGGTCGCAAATAAGCCGGAAAAGATGCAAAGTTGCGAATATGTAGCAGTCAACTCTAGTCCAGACAATAGGTAAGAAAAATTACGCGTGGGTCAACCTTAGTTCGGAGTACAAAATGAAAATTTCTATATCAATAATCAATACAGTACATATTGTTGGGAGGAAAAAGTGTAGGGTACAAAAATTTGATCAACGGGTGGCTAAACGCCTTATTACATTTCGTTCATTTTTGACATTTGCGGTATTGTCACGTTTAGAAAATATTTACTTTTTACATTTTTTACATTTGCGCTGTACATTCCGTGTCATAAGGCTCTCCTAATATTTTAAGCATTTAGGCGTTTTTCAAAAGTTATAAAAGAGGAGTGAATTTACATTTGTAATAATAGACTTCTACGGTTTTAAATAATAATCACCCAATAAATATAATAAAAAAATACGTTACCTAACCCAAATCACCTTAGTCACGCCTCTATCGAACATATATTAGACGCATACCGATTTTACCCTTCAACAATATCAATTTGATATACATATACAATTTATTTAACTTTATACACGTATTATGCACGATCGCTTTCAGTATAGTAATGAAAGTAATAAATAAATAAAAAAACTTGAGCAATAACTAATGATACGAAAATAAATATAATTTATTATTTGTATTAGAATTCAGATAATTTAATAAAAATAAACGTAATCACACCTTTTTTTTTAAGTTATAAAAGTAGAAG